GAACTGGCTTTTTGGTCTGGTCCCACTCCGCTGAAGTATTTTAAGACCCTGGCTGGCAGGACACTCCTACCCACACCCACCCCAGAAGAGAGGTGTTCACCATCCATATTTTCAGGAGAGTAAGTCTAGAAACTGTCCAAGGTAGCGCAAAGAACGTGTGTTCGAGTCGTTCTACAGTTAAAGCCGCACGCCGAGCCGGGATTCACCTAGCGCTCCTGAACCAGGCGCTAGCCTTGCGGGGGCTGTTTCTTCAAGACATGTGCATTGACATCTCCCTCACTTGCCTTGAGGAAGGGATTGGTGATATTATTATTACCTACATATCAGCATGTAAAAATTGTAGTCAATCTGATTGGGAATCTTTTTTTAAAGTATTGCACACACACCTGCCTTCCTAAATGGAGTAAAAACCCCACTACTAAGGAGTCAAGTCCCACTTATAGCCACCCTATAATTCATTAGTGATAAATGAATTTATAGGTTTCCAATAAATCTTAAAAGGGCAGAAACTCTTCTCTTTCCCACAGGGTAGCTGGAAGGTGTGAACCACTGACCAACCTGGCAGTCCAATGATTACCAGACAGGTTCGCTGAGATAAGAGAGCATAACGTAATCTTTCCTTAATGACTCAGGGTCACAATTACCAGCCAAGCACCAATTATCAAACACATGACACCCCTACCCCCCCACCCCCCACCCCCGGGGCCAAGGTGCACCAAGCCAACAAATGGCCTCCCGCTCTTAGCTGCGTGGTGGAGGGCTCCGATCTCCACTTCATTTCCCACTGGCATCCCTCGCTTGCACCGGGCCACCCTTTCCCTCTCTGCTGTTTTTTGGTTTGTTTGTTTTTAAAATACATTTTTCCTGCAAATTGGGCTCCCAGACCATACACTTCCATAGTTCTGTTACATTAATCAGAGTTGTGCCATCCTCTCTGCCATCTGCTCCAGAACATCTTCCATTAGTTCCCCGTATCCCTCCCACCTGCCACCCTCCCCCACCCCACCATGCCCCAATAAGCCCCCAATCCAGTGACTGTTTCTATAGCTTCATTCATCTTCCTATACTGGAACACACACTTGCACGCACGCACACACGCACACACGTGCCCAAAATAAAAAGACCAACAGCAGCAAAATAAATCAGAGAAAAAACTCCCAAATGAGAAAAAAAGCCGGGAGCATTAAAACTAGAACATATTTTAAATAGGTCAAACGGGAGATCAAATGATCAGGTACCACATTTCACACTAATAACATGTGCCACGATGGCACTTACCATCGTCTGTTTGACAGCCAGGCTACTCACACCCCTCAACTCTGGTTAGAGGGGATTCATCGGCGGTTTAATCCATGCATGGACCCTGCAAATGGATCTTGGGCTTCTGCTGTCATCCACAGCCTTCTACAAATCAAATGTCCACAATTTAAGCGCTGATACCATTCCCTCCTTTGGATTTGGATTTTATGATATAACATCCTTGGATCACACAGGCTGTTGTGCTTCTTCCGTGTAGACTTAATTGAAGCCTCTCTATGCTGGTCTTTTTATTTACCCTTATTTTCTGTATTGAGGATTTGAAAACAGGATCACAGCTTATATGTGTTAAACAGCCTCAGGAGGCTAATGTGAAGGAAGTAGAGGAATTTGAGTCTTTGATGTTCCAAGGTCTCCTCAGCTACATACAGATAAGCAAGACTGTTGCATGGTCAAATTCCAGGGAGGAGTTCAGGAGAGAGGAGGTATTGTGGGATGTCAATGAATTAGAGCCACACCCTACTGTCCAATTTGGGCCCAATTCGGGAACAAATTCCTCAGCAGGCCAGGACGACTGGAGGGGCACAGAGCTGCCCCTCTGTCACACTGTCAGAGCAGCTGACCAGAGGCTAATTTCTTATCTCCTGTACGGCAGGGCTGGGAATTACTTGCTATAGCTCTACAAGCCAGTCTTCGTAACTGCTACCAAATGACTGGGTTGGACCGTGCAAATGTGAGGTGTGCATGGCCCACATAGGGAACTGGATAGCTTGCTAATAATGTAAATAAGGTACACAGCACCCAGGTGGGGTGGGCCATGCAAATGCAGTGTATGGAACTCAAACGTGAGAATGCATCTGTTCTGCTTTCCCAGTAGGCTTAAAATGAGCCCTCTCAGAAGCAGAAGAGGTGTCTCACTGCCATCAAGAAAGAAGTGTCAGGGATGGTGCCCGTCATTCAGGTCCTGAGATGGCCACGCACCCCCCCGCCTGCTGACAGAGCTGTGACACCAGAAATCTGATAGGCAGTAGGGAAGTGATAGAAAAGCTGAGGTCGCACCTACATTGTAAGACAGAGCAGCCAGTGGGTTTCTGTGGACAAGAACGCTGAAGGCTTGCTTACACCACCTGGGCCTTTGGCGGGGTTAGAGCTGAGAGCCTTCGGGCTGAGACTACAGGCAGAGTAGAGTGAATGTTTGGCTTTTATCAGAATAGCTAAAAACAAAACAAACAACCAAAAAACCCAACTTTGTATCATCACAGGAACAAGGGCAGAGTCTAAAGGGCCCCGTGGCTAAGAGCCTGAAGACCAGAGAGACGTGTGCCTGTGGACATGGCCGAGGAGT